CTATATATATATATATATATATATATGGAAAAAGTTTATATAAGGCTGTAACCTTAAAATGTAGAATTACATAACCACCTCAAAAATCTATTGGAAAGGTTGTTATAATGTTGAAAAACCCTCTATTTGATCATTTAGACATTGAGATGTATGAATATAAAAAAATAAAAAAAAAAGGTTTTGAGTCTGAAAAATAGTGCATATTGCAACACATTATCTAGGCCGTCCATTTTCAAGATGTTCATATGTTTATAATTCCCTTGATTTTAACTATTTTTGGAGTTTAAAATTTTTTAATTAGATATGAAAATAGATTTTAAAATAATCTTAAAAAAAATTTTATAACAAAATTACATATTATGATAAAATTTGGAGGTGCGCCTTATTTAGATTGCTTAAGGTTGCAGCCTTGTAGAAACCGCACCCTACCATCAAATCCATCATGCGCTTTCTATTGTTCATCATGTGATTTCTATGTGTTTTGTACTCTCCTTTCCCAACCGACATGCCGAAGACTTTGGCAATGTCTAGAATCTCTCCTCTGTCTCCCAGTGTAGATTTTTAGCCTCCCACACGATCACAACCGTCCGTGCGCTAGGACCATCTTCTTTGGACATTCTCCTTTGTCCGTTTCTGTGTTTTCATGTCCATAAGAATGCCTATCAAGCTTTCATGACCCCAAAAATTAGTCCTCGGGAAATGATGCCCCTAAGGTAGGCCTCACACCAAGACCACGGAGGGGTGGCAATGGACCCGGACCCGAAACTGATGAAATTGGACTGGGCAGGTTAGGTTTGGGTTTAAATATTGGATCCGGACACTATTAAGGTCGAATCCACACTATTTGGGTCTGGGTCCATGTGGACCCGACCCGAATAGTATTATTATTTAATAATATTTAACAGAAATATAACTATATATTTTAGATATCTATATACTATTGTTTTGAACATTGAGTATTTTTTAATGAGGGTATTTTTGGTGATTAGGAGGGATATGACATTATTTATACAAGGTGGGACATCACCTACATGGAGCTAGTGGTATTTAATGCTCTATGTGGTTGTGGATGATGTCACAGCTCATGTGGATGATGTCATATTCCTCTTAATGACAAAAATATCCTTGTTACAAAATAAAAGCTCCATGTACAAAATTTATAAATGTCCACAAATTTATTGAGTACAATGATAAATTACTCTATAGTATGAACACCATATCATAACCGTTTAAATAATATATGTATATATTTAAATATATTCACTTATTTATTTTTGGATCAAGTCCAATCAGGTCTGGGTCTGAATCCCATAATTTTTTTCAAGTCCAGATCCAAATCTAGGTCTGGCCAGACCCAACTTAACCCATTGCCTCCCCAATACCACCCCTATGTGAAGAAAATGCATAGTAAAATATTCTAAGCAAAACCAATTACCAAAGGAAGAATGTATAAAGAGACTTTTTACTTTTTAATACAAGGAGTCACAAACACTCTTATTCGTCACAAATTGAGTAGTTGTGAATGTGTCTGTGGCTAGATTCAAAGTTTGAAAAATATTTCTCGAACTTTGTATCACACTCCAAACCATTGAATTTGACATCTAATGGCTAGTAGCAATTGTGACCTCCTTGAAACAAGAATGGATGCTTTCATCATAAAAAAATTCCAAAGTATTAATCAGTTTTATTAAAACGGCGATACCACACTTCAATGGTGCATGGTGTATATCAACAATATGGTACATTTGTGGTACATCGATTGCCCAGTCATGATGAGATCCGGAATGGTATAGAGCCAACAAGGTGTGATTGTATGTGGATTCACAAGCACTTTTTAATGGTTCAGATTGGATCTTGGCTGATTTGAAAGCTATAAAATCAAATTTTATTTTATATTCTTTAATATATATATATATAAGAAATATTGGCGTAGACCCATTAGCCTACAACTACATATAGGCCAAACGGCCTATATTCAATATGGGCCGATCCAATTATCACGATTTTATTTGTATTTTAATTTTTTTTATAAAAATCCAAATTATTTTAAATTTTGGGCATGTGTTCTTTAAAAATATGAAGATCCAATAAAAATATCAAAAAAATATTTCGTGAAAAATAAATTGATCAAAATACCCCAAAACATTTCAAGAGTATTTTTGTTAATTTATATTTTGTGAACTATTTTTTTAATATTTTTATTAGGTGCGTGTTAATGAGAAGAATAGACATTAGGTTTACATGATTTGGTTTTGTAAAAAAATACTAAAATTTAAATACGAAATGAGATCATGTTCGTTAGATTGATCTAACAGTTGGGTCTGCGTAGGAGCATCTTTATGAGCCGCAACCCCTAAAGATGAATCACGCCCTAATTTTTATGTTTAAAAAATTTGAATAAAAAATAAAAAAAAAATTAATTTGTACCCTTTGAATGGCCCAAATTAAATGAAAACAGTTGGAAAGATAGTTGTGCACCTTTCAAGGGTCTACATCAAGTAGATGCTAAAATTTTCCTAATGGAATAACTTAATGAATGTTTGATTGTGACAGCAGTTAATGTCCTCCATCCGTCCCGTGATGTCAATGCAGAATGGAAAGTCTTGAGGTTAAGAGCATATTTACGTAGAAAAAGAAGAGTTTACTTTATGAATTTATTGATCAACAAGAAGAACAACATTGATAGTTTTTCCACATGAAAGGATAGTTTTTCTACTTGTTCTTTCATGTGGTTATGGTTGTAAAAATTGTTAAGTATTTATCAGTTATGATGAACAAGAAAAACAATATAGATAGCTTTTCCACCTTTTCATTCATGTGATTATGGTGGCAAAAATTTCAGTTATGGATGGCAATAATATATAT